GCGGCGCACGCCTTTAATCCCAGCACTTGAGAGTCAGAGGCAGGACAATCTCTGTGAGTTCCAGGCCAGCCTGGTCTATAGAGTGAGTTCCAGGACAATCAGAGCTACACAGAGAAACCTTGACTCAAAAAACCAAACCAAACCAAATCAACTCTCCCCAAAAAGCTCTTCTGTGGTTTGAACAAGAGGACAGGTACTTAGAATATAGCTGCAATGAGTTGGAGGCAGGAGAATCGGAAGTTCAAGGTCATCCTTGGCTATAGAGTGAATTTGAGGTCATCCTGGGTTAGTGAGATACTGTCTTATCACACACACACACACACACACACACACACACGCACACGCACACGCACACGCACACGCACACGCAGACACAGACACAGACACACACACAAAGAGAGAGAGAGAGAGAGAGAATCTTCATTGTCAACTTACTAGATAAGGAGTCACCTAGGGGGCACAGCTCTGGGCATGTGTGTGCTTGTTTTAATAGTAATGGCCCCCATAGGCTCATATATTTAAATGCTTAGTCACCAGTGAGTAGCACTATTGGAAAGGATTAAAAGGATTAGGAGATGCGGCCTTGTTGGAGGAAGTGTGTCACTGGGGGCGGGCTTTGAAGTTTCAAAAGCCCATGCCAGGCCCAGTCTTGCTCTCTGCCTGCAGATCAGAATGTAGCTCTCAGCTACTGCTCCACTGCCTGACTGCATGCTGTCATGCTCCCCAACATTCTGGTAATGGACTAAACCTCTGGACTATATGCAAGCCCGTAATTATATGTTTTCTCTTTAAATGTCGTTGTAGCCATGATGTCTCTTCTCAGCAATAGAACAGTGACTAAGACAGCATGTGAGGGTGTTTCCAGAGAGGTGTTAACCGAGGAAAGAAGATCCGCCATGATATGGGTGGCGCCCTCCCATGGCATGGAGTCCTGGGCTGAACAGAAAGGGATAAAGGAAAAAGACTGCCAAGCAGCAGCAGCCTTCATCTCTCTGCTTCCTGACTGTAGGAGCCACGTGACCACCCGCCTCCCACTCCTGTCTCTATGCGCTCCAGGACAGATGGTCTATCCTCGACCTCAGCCAAAATGAATCCTCCCTTCTGTAAGGGGATCTGCCACGCATTTGATCACAACGAGGAAGAACAGTAACCAGCACACGGATATGCACACATGATCTGCAATCATCACTTGACACCAAATGACAAACCAGAGTGGAATCTGCTTTTAGCCAAAGATACAAAACTTTCTAGGTCTTCAACCTGTGTGCCATGAGGTTGGAAAGCCAAGAAAACCTTACCTTTTGGTGCCTTGCTTGGCCACCACCATTGCCCCAAATACAAAGCCCACAGCTCTACAGTGAGCTGAGAAGGCAAAAAAGTGTTCTGTTCTCTGTGACATGGCATGGGCGGCGTCCCTCAGCTCTGTCAGTCAGGGGGAAGAGCAACTGAAATTAGCATCCCCCCACCTCTGAGACTACTTTCTTCCTCCCTCCCTCCCTCCCTTCCTTTCTTTTTTTTTTTTTCTTGTTTGGTTTTTTGAGACAGGGTTTCTATGTGTAGCCCTAGCCAACTAGTTCTGAAAACCAGGCTGGCCTCAAACTCACAGAGATCACAGCCTGCCTTTGCCTCCTGAGTGCTGGGATTAGAGGTATGCACCACCACCACCTGGCTGTGACTATTCTTAAGCTCTTTATTTTCCTCAGTACTTAGAACAACCTACCTGATATATTTAGTTGTGGATTTTCTGTTTTTGTGTTGCTGTTTTACAGTATGGGCTGAACAGGGCCTGTACTTGGTAGGAAAATATTCTACTATCTCTAGCCCTCTTTTTACTTAAAAAAAAAAAAAAAAAAGATTTATCTAGCTGGGCAGCAGTGATGCATGCCCTTAATCCCAGCACTCAGGAGGCAGAGGCAGGCAGATATCTGTGAGTTCAAGGCCAGCCTAGTCTACAGATCGAGTTCCAGGACAGGTACCAAAACTACACAGAAAAATCCTGTCTCAAAAAACAAAAACAAGCCGGGCGGTAGTGGCGCACGCCTTTAATCCCAGCACTTGGGAGGCAGAGGC